GAATGTTTAGGCCAGCAGAGAAGGCCTTGCTGGCCCTGAGGGTCCGCCACTGATTAACATAGAGCTTGAACATAAAATTAAAAAAAAGGTAAGGTGGCAGCGCCATACTGAATGACACGTTTTTTTCAATGGTAGGAGATTGTTTGGAGACTCGTTAGGATTGAAGGAATGATGAATGCAGCAATGTACAGCGACATGGCTGAAAAACCTTCAACATGCTCAGGACCTCAGATTGAGCTGAAGATTTACCTTCCAACAGGACAATGACCCAAAGCTCATAGCCAAGACAACAAAGGAGTGTGTTCAGGACAACTCTGGGAATGTCCTTGAGTGGCCCAACTAGAGACCAGACTTGAATCCGATCAAACATCTCTGGAGAGATCGGAAAATGGCTGCGCACCGACGCACCCCACCCAACCTGAGCTTGAGAGGTGCTTCAAAAAAGGGATGGGTGAAACTGCTTCAAGGGAGATGCGCCAAGCTTGTGGCATCGTATTCAAAAAGACTGAGCTATAATTACTGCCAAAGGTGCATCAACAAAGTTTGGAGCGAAAGCTGTGAATACTTATGTACATGAAATAAATTTTTAAAAAAATGGGGCTCGGGGGACATAATTATGGGGTATTGTGTGCTGAATTTTGAAGTGGAAAATATTCATTCTACTTTGGGATGAGGCTGTATTGTAACAAAATGTAGAAAAAGTGAAACGCTTTGAATATTTTTCTGATGCGCTGTCCAAACATACCCTTGCCCCGATACACCAGCAGTCCATTAGGGCCCCTAAAGTCAATTGCGTCTCCAATAGCCATGCTGTCCAGGTACTGAGACATTTTCCCTCCCTCTGGGAACGAGGCGTGAGTGTTCTTATAGTACACCTGGCAAAACAAAACAAAAAAAAGTATATATATATATATATATGTATAATTTTTAAAAAATCAATTACAGTAAGGACATTAAGAAATCAAATGTGGGCTGAGGCCTTTGGGTCAGAGCCTTTAATGTACTTTTGATATTAAGTAGGTGCTACTCTACGTAGTCTGGTTGGCTTCCTTCCACAGTCAAAAACGCATTCGGTCAATCAAAATATTCACCAGAAATGTTTTAACTTCGACTTCTGCCTCACCATTTACAAGATATAGTGTCCAAAAAATGTCACGTGTGCTTGTCAAATGTTTATTACAGGTTGATTGTACTTATAAGCCATTATCGCACTTCAATATCTACAGTATCGCACAAAAGTGAGTGTGACATTTACATTTTTGTAAATATTTTTTTATCTTTTCATAGGACGACAATGAAGAAATATCAATTTGCTATCGTGAAAAGTAGTCAGTGCAACATAACAGAGACAATTTATTGCTCCCTTCACCCCTTTTCATGCACCCTGTAACCCGATTACATGAAAAGCTGTCCACTGTAGTAACCGCTGTTCCTAAAAGGGTTAAACACATCTGCGTTGCATGTTAAAGTGTTACTTTACTTGCTTTGTATGTAATCAATGCCACATTAAAACATTATCTATGTAAGCTTCTTCCGAAGAGTTTGACCTCTCCTGTGAGCCACAAAAAGATCCCACTCCATTTAGGAGTGTATGTTCTCATATAATAAATTGTCAACGCGATGCAAGTTGTTAAATACCTTGACAACAAGGTCTACATATCCTTGCTGGTCATCACTGGAGACTGGCGTGTAGGCTCTGACCACCAGGCTGCCATTCACCCTTGCAGAGAGATACACGTGCTGACCTGGTGAAAACAACCGGACCAGAGGTTTGAATTCAAGCAATGCAAGTTCAAACGCACTAATGCAGTCATAAACGAGAAGGACACTTGGGTGTTTTAGTACCTACTGGCAGTCCAAGGATATGATCTGAAGATGGAAGGCCAAACCGAAATTTCTTTGTGTCATGACTAATTTCCTGCAAAGAAACAAACCCCAAAAACAAGATAAAGATTTTTTTTTAAGAAATGGATTGTTAGATAGTGTGTTTTTATTCAGCGTACCTGTTTATCTATGAGCTGTAGAGGATATTTAACCACGGGATCGAGCAAGGTGACGGGTAATTTCTTGTTTGAAGAGCCGCTCATTAAGAAGTACAGCACACTTAGAACCACTACACACGCAGCTACCACGACAGACATGAGCTGCAACATAGATGTGACATATTCAGCTTCAATTGGATGTCTTAGAAGATTTGTATGTTTGGTATGCCCCTCACTGCAGTCAAGTCATCATTTTACATGCGTTATTATCCTCGATAGTACAAATACGTTGTCAAAGCCTTCATTACAGAAGGAGGAAAATAATGAATAGTCTCACCATACTTGGATCCATAGTTCGAACAAGTTGCGAAAAGTTTGAAGAGCGTTCTCTCAGTTCATGCAGCCCGAAAGACCAGAGTCCACGCAGTCACGGTGCCTTTCACTTCCAACAAGCCCGCGCCCGCACGCACGCGCGCACGTTGGGGGAGTTGCCCATTCTGTCACTCGAATGTTAGCCGCTGGGAGCACCAATAGGAAGACCGACTTTAGCATGACACTATATAGCATGACATCACACTTCGACAGAAAGGGGGGCGGGGGGACTAAAGCTACCGCAAAGAATATTTGGCGGTATATATGTTTAATTTTTGGGAGACAGTGACATGTATTTTGAACGGGATAAAGGTGGGTGTCAACGCAGAAAATGCATGTTTTTGTGGACTTTTTCCGGAAGTGGAAATACATTCAGAAAAAAATGGCGTGTATAATGGCGTGGATGTACGATTAAGTAAGTCTAATGATCTAAGTCTTATATATTACATAGTACATATTACAGTACAAAGAATAACAAACTTCAGCTGGACAATACTAGAATGACGATTTGATGTCAGGCTTAAAGTAATATCATATTGCTGTTAGTACCCTTACATTAAATGTCTTTTTAGCAAGGCTTCACGCAGTTACTTGCCCCTCCCTGACGATTTTGTACTGTCGTCTTCAAAATCAAAGCTCTTCTCCTTCACTTCCTGGAACTACTGTTGTACACCCCCCATAGCTTCAATTGTGTTTTGTGACAAAAAGTATAAAAGAAAAAGTAGTCAGTCACTACACATGAACATTTTTTTTCAGTAAATAAATTCATAGTATTCGATACTAATCACAGAAAAATATGAATAGGAAATCGCAAAGTCGGCCTCACAGTGCAGAGGTGCAGGGTTGGATTGCCGCTCCGGCCTTCCTATGTGCAGTTTGCATGTTCTCCCCAAGCCTGCATGGGTTTTCTCCGGGTACTCCAGTTTCCTCCCACATTCCAAAAACATGCATGGCAGGATGATTGACCACTCCAAATTGTTCCTAGGTGTGAGTGTGAGCATGAATGGTTGTTCGTTTCTGTGTGCCCTGCGATTGGCTGGCAACCGGTTCAGGGTGTACCCCACCCCGCCTACTGACCCCAGTCATCACTCGAGAGGATAAGCGTGTGGAAGATAGAGAGAGAGAGAGAGAGAGAGAGAGAGAGAGAGAGAGAGAGAGAGACCTCCACAAACTTGTGCACGTGTGCTCTGCATCACATTTGTGTAAACGCGTGTATGAATAGTCTCACCATACTTGGATCCATAGTTCGAACAAGTTGCGAAAAGTTTGAAGAGCGTTCTCTCAGTTCATGCAGCCCGAAAGACCAGAGTCCACGCAGTCACGGTGCCTTTCACTTCCAACAAGCCCGCGCCCGCACGCACGCGCGCACGTTGGGGGAGTTGCCCATTCTGTCACTCGAATGTTAGCCGCTGGGAGCACCAATAGGAAGACCGACTTTAGCATGACACTATATAGCATGACATCACACTTCGACAGAAAGGGGGGCGGGGGGACTAAAGCTACCGCAAAGAATATTTGGCGGTATATATGTTTAATTTTTGGGAGACAGTGACATGTATTTTGAACGGGATAAAGGTGGGTGTCAACGCAGAAAATGCATGTTTTTGTGGACTTTTTCCGGAAGTGGAAATACATTCAGAAAAAAATGGCGTGTATAATGGCGTGGATGTACGATTAAGTAAGTCTAATGATCTAAGTCTTATATATTACATAGTACATATTACAGTACAAAGAATAACAAACTTCAGCTGGACAATACTAGAATGACGATTTGATGTCAGGCTTAAAGTAATATCATATTGCTGTTAGTACCCTTACATTAAATGTCTTTTTAGCAAGGCTTCACGCAGTTACTTGCCCCTCCCTGACGATTTTGTACTGTCGTCTTCAAAATCAAAGCTCTTCTCCTTCACTTCCTGGAACTACTGTTGTACACCCCCCATAGCTTCAATTGTGTTTTGTGACAAAAAGTATAAAAGAAAAAGTAGTCAGTCACTACACATGAACATTTTTTTTCAGTAAATAAATTCATAGTATTCGATACTAATCACAGAAAAATATGAATAGGAAATCGCAAAGTCGGCCTCACAGTGCAGAGGTGCAGGGTTGGATTGCCGCTCCGGCCTTCCTATGTGCAGTTTGCATGTTCTCCCCAAGCCTGCATGGGTTTTCTCCGGGTACTCCAGTTTCCTCCCACATTCCAAAAACATGCATGGCAGGATGATTGACCACTCCAAATTGTTCCTAGGTGTGAGTGTGAGCATGAATGGTTGTTCGTTTCTGTGTGCCCTGCGATTGGCTGGCAACCGGTTCAGGGTGTACCCCACCCCGCCTACTGACCCCAGTCATCACTCGAGAGGATAAGCGTGTGGAAGATAGAGAGAGAGAGAGAGAGAGAGAGAGAGAGAGAGAGAGAGAGAGAGAGAGACCTCCACAAACTTGTGCACGTGTGCTCTGCATCACATTTAGAGAAACGCGTGTAAAAAAAAAAAAAAAAAAAAAAAAAACGCAGTCAGACAGGCCACCAGGGGGTAGAATTTCCTTCCAGCATTTCTTGTTGGACCGTGCAAGATGAAGTCAGTGTGTACTGTGTACATGAATTCATTTGCAAACCGTGAGTTTCCATCACAAACATGTTCAATGACTCAAGTGATGTTGGTTCAGAAAACATCTGAAACACGTCATTGAATGATGTTTATAAATCAAATGAACAACACCAGTTTGATAATTGTGATGCTGATGAATAAGTGAATAAGTACACTGGTGATTCTGTGAACGCGCTAAATTATCCGTGGGTGCGATTGTGAGTGCGAATGGTTGTGTGCCCTGCGATTGACTGGCAACCAGTTCAGGGTGTACCCTGCCAACTGCCCAAAGACAGCTGGGATACAGCACACTCGTGACAATAGACCCCATGACTTCTCCCAGTCAATGAACCGGAAAGCTAAGGAAAACAAGTTTTAAAGAATTAAAGTAACCTACAGCGCTGTGCAAAAGTCCACTATCCAGTATTCGAATTGCCTTTTGCTGTATTCACCATATTGATACGATAGTGACTCAAAGGGGTCAAAATTAAATTCCTGCATCTGCACCTTTATCCAAATCCACACGAACTCTTACTAGTGTACTTCGCTAACCCATGCACCATTCCTCTGCAAAGTTTTGTGGTACTGTATACTGATATAGAGATGTGACTGTTTTATATAAAATTATTAAACATGAATAAATCCTGCAATGTATTACTTTACAATCATTTTCATTTAAAATGCCGATTTTTTTTCCAAGGAACACAAAGGGTTAATGAGCAGCATTTTGTGTATCACTGGGTTGCATTTGTAGTGCAGTGTCATAAGTCACATTGTCATTCTAAATGACACTGATGCCCACTCCTTTGTTAAAGTACCTTTAATTCACTTCTTCTATCTGATTCATCCAAGGCTATAAATCAGTTAGATACTTATGTGATGCCCACTTCACTTGTTCTTTTATGACATACACTCTCCCTTTTGTAACTCTATTGATTTTTATGACGTGGAAGACTTGCAGTCGCACAGTGGGGATATTTCAAATGATGACAAAGCTACGGAAAGGAATTATACAGAACCAAGTCAATGCCACCGTATCCTTCAGCCAAGAACAACCACAGCACGTCACTTTGACTCAAACTGATACACATTGGTATGCAGCAAGTACATGTAAAATCACCAACAATAAGGTGTTTATTAAAAAGATGACAGCAATAATACTTTCCAAAAAATGAACATGAAAAACGAAACAGTTGAATTACATATCCGAAAAGGAGTGGGAAGAAGTGAAAGTTGCTGATTCACACCCCTTATTCATATTGCACCTCATTATACAAACCCCCTTGTTTTTCCATCCATTGTCTGAACGGTTTTATCTTCATGAGGGTCACGGGCATGCTAGAGCCTATCTCAGCTGTTTATGGGCAGTAGGCGGGGTACGTACACCCTCATTCTCACTCACAATCACGCCTACGGACAATTTCCAGCGTTCAGTCAACCTTCCATGCATGTTTTTGGAATGTGGGAGGAAAGCGGAGTACGAGGAGAAAAATCACAGAGAGAACATGCTAACTCCACACAGGAAGGCCGAGAATCGAACATATGACTTCTGCACTGTGAGGCGAACGTGCTAACCAGTTTTTGTAGTCTGTGTCCCTGATTTTTTTTTTTGATAGGATACATACATACGAAAAAGGTAACATCAAATGAACAACCTAACGATAAATCAGGAACCAAATTAAATAGTATATAATTCTTTTATGATTATCACACCCTGTCAT